TATGTGTATTATGAGAGAAGTAAATGGCATAATTTGCACATTGTATTAAGTTTATGTTTTTTGTAGCTTTAGTCCATTGAATAAGTCACAACTGACTGATTTAACACAGCACTAAGCCATAAGCCATGCCTTATAAATTACAATTTCTGGCTTTGTATAATGCTAAGCTAAAGCAAATCACATCATGATTTTATCTAATGGTAAGTTTCTGCAATATTTTTATTGGAAGATGCCCAGTTTAGGTGGGAAAAAGGTGTGATTGGGCTTACATTGGGTTCTAATCTAATGTTATAAAAGTAAAACTGGATTATAATTTCTACATGTGGAAGATAGGAAAACCTATAGTTTTAAATATACCAGTAATTATAAAGTGCTGGAAAATAGATGTTGAAATAAGATATATATTTTTTGACAAATATTTTGAAATTCCTAATATTTTCTGTTTTTTTCTGATCAGCCATATAACTGTTGCCTAATTATTAGTAGGAGGCCTTGTTCTGCTATTTTTTCTTGCTTTGATTGGAAAGAAGAATGATAAACCACTTTCAAACTAGATGTATATATTACGCATCTTTGGTGCTATTTTTGCTTTTACTAGCCTCACTTTCTACCTGTTGATTTAGAAATAGTGAATCCAAAGCCAATTTATGCATAGAATAGAATTTATGCTTTTTCTTCATGACACTTCCATGTTGAATATGCATATTTTATAACATTTCATAACATGTATATTTGAATGTTTATTCTATTTAATAAGGAGAAAATATGAGTTTGAAAAATTAATATAAGCATGATATCAATATTCCTACAAGTAGATAAACATGGTATGAGTCACTCTGTGAGTGAGATGGGTAATCTCTAAATTTGATAGCATAGCACTCATGTCAGAAGCACCAAGGCTTCTGGGATGAAAGGATTAGCCTGTGACATCACTGTTGCCTGGGAGATGCCCAATTGGGGACTCCTTTCATGTCTCTGACAGCAGCTAGAGCAAAGGACAGGAGCACAACACCACCCCACGGCAGCACTTGGGTCTCAAACGTGGGCTTGCTAATCTCCTACCCAGAATCTTAGCCACATGATCCACCATGCTCCTTTCTAAATTGGATATAAACAAATAAATGATATGTGGTGCAGGGGTTAGAATGCAATATTGTAGGCAAACTCTGCCCACAGCCAGGAGTTCGATCCTGACAGCCTCAAGGTTGACTCATCCTTCGATCCTTTTGAAGTTAGTAAAATGAAGACTCATGTTGTTGGGGGCAATATGCTGACTATTGTAAACTATTCAGAGAGTGCTGTACAGCACTATAGAGCGGTATATAAGTCTAAGTGCTATTGCTGTTGTTATTTCTTTCAAAGTAGCATTGACATTACATGTATATACTTATAAAACTGTTCTTTCTTAGTAAATATGTTTAGAATTGCAGTCTTGTCCTATTAATCATTCTGCAGTGAACTAAGAATAGATATTATGCTGCAGGATATGTTCGCTTGTCAATATTTTCTCACTGTTGTTCAGGTTCATGGTAGTGATGCTTTGCATAAAAAGTTCCCAGGCTGAACCCTTGCATATTGAAGACTCTTGTCAGGAATCGGGAGAGACACACTCAGCTAGAATAAAATCATAATGTCCTGATGCAGGCAATGTGCTAAGTCATAATATAGTTTAGGTAGCTTTGACAAACAATTATGCTTTATTCAATAAATCATGGCTCATGTACTGCTTGAGCCTAGCTACTAAATGAGATTGACCAAGAGCACAAAGAGAAGGACCTATATAGGAAGTTCGTGTATATAATTGTGATATACTACTTAACACTCAAGGTTGTAAGCTGAGTACAAATAAAAGTGGTAATACATTAATATAGCAAGAGATTGAGATCACAAAATAATAAAAATATTGTGCCAAAACCAGGGGGCTAAAATATCTAAATAAATAAATAAAATATAGAATAAAATCTGCTTACAGACAGGAGGTTATACAACTTGCCTCATGGTGTAACCGGAATAATCTGGAACTGAACACACTCAAAACCGTAGAAATGGTGGTAGACTTTAGAAGAAACCCTCCCATACTACACCTCTTACAATACTAGACAACAGTAGAGACCTTCAAATTTCTAAGTTCCACTATATCACATGACCTAAAATGGACACCTAACTTCAAAAACATCATCAAAAAAGCACAACAAAGAATGTTCTTTCTGCACCAACTCAGAAAGCTCAAACTGCCCAAGGAGCTACTGATACAGTTCTACAGAGGAATTAGTCTATCATCTGCACCTTTATAACTGTCTGGTTTGGTTCTGCAACCCAACAGGACAGACAGAGACTTCAGAGGATAATTAGGACTACAGAAAAAAACAATTATTACCCACCTGCCTTCAGTTGAGGACCTGTATACTGCACGAGTCAAAAAGAGGGCTGTGAAAATATTTACAGACCCTTCACATCCCGGATATCAACTGTTTCAACTTCTTCCCTCAAAACGCTGCTATAGAGCACTGTACATCAGAACAACTAGACACAAGAATAGGTTTTTTCCAAAAGCCATCACTCTGCTAAACAAATAATTCCCTCAACACTGTTCAACTATTTACAAAGTGTACACTACTATTACTGTTAATCTTCTCATCACTCCTTATCACCCATCCCCTCCCACTTGTGATTGTAGGACTGTAACTTTGTTGCTTGTATCCTTACAATTTATATGGACTGTTTCCTAGTATGATTTGATTGTACCCTAGGACCATCATTATGATTCTTGATTCTTAACGTATGTACCTTTTCTTTATGTATACTGGGTATAGAGTATTTACACCAAGACACATTCCTTGTGTGTCCAATCACACTTGGCCAATGAAGTATTCTATTCTATTCTATTCTATTCTATTCTATTCTATTCTATTCTATTCACCAAAGGCCCTCCAAAAGAATCGTTTTGTACAGCTCTCCAGAATGTCATGGAAGATATAATTTATAACATATGAAAGATATCCCTTTACCTTGGATGAGTTATTCTGTAGGAGGGAATGCCTTCCAGAGAACATTCTTTGCAATTCACCTCTTGATTAGTGGGGGGTGGGTGATACTCTCTGTTCACCCAAGTTAGGTAAGCAGAAATTGCTTGGGAGGTAGTCTGAGAAATATTCCAATTCCAAGCCATATAGGTAATAATCTGATTTAATCAATTTTTTCTAAAGTCATGTGTCATGTGACAATGCAACAATTTTCCAATCAGGATACTTTTGCATCTGCAAATAGGTCTTTAAAATTAACAGTATGCAAAATGAATTACAGAAATCCATGTTCAGGATGATGAAGATAGACAAGGTTTGGCTATCATATTTTTTTGTTCTGGTGAACGCCACAACTAATACCGCAAAGGTTGTGCTGATGAATGCCACAACTGAATCTGGGCAAAGGTTGTGCTGTCACAGAGTCCACCTGTTGTTCAGTCAGGAACTGCAAATCCGGGAAAATTCCCACGTTGCAAATTCTCCATTGGAAGCCTTTTGCCACTCAAGTTGATATGTGTATCTAGCCCCTGTACTGCACTAAGACGAGTAAATAAAAATGTCCCTAGACGTTATCTATATTAAGCCTCAATAATCTAATATAGAGGTAGTCCTTTACGTACTATTCTGGGAATGAGTAAGTCTCATTCATGGAATTTATCTTTGAGTAAGACATGTTTTGGCTTCAATGCAATCCCAGTATAACAGAATTACAGTACAGGGAAAGCAAATGATTGCTTCTGTTAAGTTGATGGTAGACAGTGTTTAGGCACCTTGCTTTATCCAGTTGGGTTTGTATAGGAAAGAAAACTGTCATTCATTTTAACTGACTACTATACTAACAGGAAAGTCAACATTTAAATAACAGTATCTGTAATTTGGTATGTTTATTGTGATCAAGTGGCAGAAACTTGGCATGCTAAATTTATCCATGCATAATAGATTGGACAGTGTAGCTTTCTCAGAAGAGAAGGAAAATCATTTTGTAGTAGAAATGGAGTATAATAGGATGGGAAAGAGAACACAGATTTTAAAAGAAGTCATAGAAAAGAATGGAACACTAGTGTAGTGGATGATTTTGAGACATGAGTGTGTGTTCTTGTTGATTTCTTTTAGAGCTGCATTGTAATTTTGGGTATTACTGATATAAGAGTTAATACTGTAACATTTTAAAACTACACAATGTATAGGGTGGGATTCCCCAAGCTCTGTTCCCTATAGGTATTTGGACTTTAGTTCCCATAGTTCTCAGCAATATCCATATTCAGGACTATCCATGCTGGGAAATTTTGAGAGTCCTCAAAATTGTCTTAACCTTTTTGCTGTCTTGCTGGTGTTGTATAGTTGCTAACTTTAATGCGTTGCTGCTACACAAGATTTAACTGACAATAGGTAGATGTACCAACTTCTAGGTGACTTTCACTTTTTCAGTTATGAACGTTTACTTTGAAGTCCAAAAAAGTGACATCCTGTTAATATTCCTACTAACCAAATAATTAACTTGAAGAAACCTAGTCACTGCATTACTGGAATTAAATCTGTGCATTGATTATGTTACAGATCTATTAGCTGGATAAATCTTTGGCTTTACAGAATGAGGAGTTTGTGTCCTTCAATTAGGTTTTATTATTAAATCCTATTTAATAATAATCTCAGATACTAATATATAGTCATCCAATGGAAGGTAATGGAGAAAAGGTTAGGTTGTTTGGAGGGAGAAAAATAGATTATTTAAAAAGTCAAGGAAAATTGTTGTCTTTAACTCATATCTGGAAGGGGAGAAAAGATCATCCAAAAACTAAAGCAGTTAATGTTAGCCACTGGTTCTCTTAGCTAGCATTCTTGAAAGAATTGGAGAGATTCTGTGGTTATAGAAAAGTCCTTACTATCCTGTGTTAATAAAGCAACTATTTCATTATAGCTGTATTGATAAGCTTCTCCTTTGTTCTTTCTCCCCCTTTTCCAGATTAACTCTGAAAAATGTCCTTTGGGAGAGATATGGAGCTGGAACACTTTGATGAGCGTGACAAAGCACAGCGGTACAGCCGAGGCTCACGGGTGAATGGGCTCCCTAGCCCGACCCATAGTGCCCATTGCAGTTTCTATCGAACCCGCACCCTACAAACCCTCAGCTCTGAGAAGAAAGCCAAAAAAGTCCGTTTCTATCGCAATGGGGACCGATATTTCAAAGGGATTGTATATGCCATATCTCCTGATCGCTTTAGATCTTATGAAGCTTTGCTGGCTGACCTGACCCGAACTTTGTCTGATAATGTCAATCTGCCCCAAGGTGTGAGAACCATCTACACTATTGATGGAGCAAAGAAGATCACCACTTTAGACCAACTTGTGGAAGGTCAGTTTTTAAGCAAGGGATGTAAGGGAGAGTTGCACCAAAATCTTCCCATGTAAATAGTTCATTATTCTGTTCATGATCTCCTTTATGATTCTCCATTTCATCCCTCCTTTTGTCTCAGTATAGAAATCTTTTATAGTTACTGAGCATCATACTCCTTTTTTATTTTTTAATATTCCTTCATTTGGGAGAAGGTTCAACAGACATAAAGGCTTGCTGAACTTTTCTGCTTTAATATGGGGGTGGAAATATTGTTTTAGCCACATTAATAAGAACATTGTATCAGCTAAAAGAGAAATTATGGTATAGTAATGAGTATTACATGTACAGCTTCTCTACCCTTTTGGGCCTCATTTTGTTCTATATTGGAGGAAACAGCAGCAAATGAGTCATAGTGCAAGGAGTTTTTCCACATAAAATGATATTTATGAACACGTCTAACACTGGCTCAGCTTCCTGTCCCACCTGATTTTCTCTTTCTTCAAAAGAATAAATGGATGGGTAGCAGCCACACAAGTAAGTTCTGGCGCTCTCTCTCTCTCTCTCTCTCTCTCTCTCTCTCTCTCTCTCTCACACACACACACACACACACACACACACACACTAATACTTTGAGGGATCAGGAAACAAGCTCTTTGCCTTCTGGTGAATGACTGAAATCAGCATGGCAGTCATTTTGTGAATAGTTGGTTCTTCCATGATAGCTATTTTTTAACACCCTGTGTTACCTTCCTCTTTTTTAAACATAAAGATACCTAACTTATGAATTCAAATATGGCAGTTTCTATGATTACATTTAACAAGCCTCTCCTATTTTGGTTTTGCAGAAGTTATTTTTGGATTTTTCTTATTACCTATGCAATTTCTAAACTGCTTACATAAAGCAGTTGGGAATAAAGTTTTAAACTTTAGCAGAACTTATTTCCAAGTTGATATAAGATTTTTGTTTGTCTAGTTATATATTTCAAAACAGAGATGGAAGCCTCTGGCTTTAGATACGGCTAAACCTCAGCTTCAAGCAGCCCTTGTTATTAGGCATACGGAGATAGGTAGACCTCAAGTTACGACCACAATTGAGCCCCAAATGTATGTTGCTAAGTGAAACATTTGTTAAGTGAGCTTGCCCCTTTTTACGACTTTTCTTGTCACCGCTGTTAAGTGAATCACTGCAGTTAAGTTAGTAACATGGTTGTTAAGTGAATCTGGATTCCCTATTGACTTTTGCCGTAAGTGTGAAAAATGGGCATAAGTCACCTTTTTTAAGTCCCGTTGTAACTTTGAACAGTCACTAAATGAACAGTCACTAAATAAGTCCAGGACTACCTGTATGTATTCATGGAGACTATAATTCATCAACTCCTGGAAGGTGATATGGTCTTTGTTCGTTTTATAAAAACGTCATTGGGCATTAAATCTGAAATTCCAGTTTAGTAATACTAGCATGCACTGTACATGATTCAGATAGTAATTTCCATGCCCAGAGGTGGTATTCAGCAGGTTCTGACCAGTTCTGGAGAACCAGCGAAAATGTTGAGTAGTTCAGAGAACCAGCAAATACCACCTCTGACTGGAGATTTTACAGTATCCTTCCCCTGCTACACCCATAGAACCGGTAGTAAAAATATTTGAATCCCACCACTGTCCATGCCATCTATATTCTTACTGAATCTTCATTCTATATGACCACATGTGACTATATGATCTATTCCTTCATAGGTTTTAATGGCAATTCTTTTGCCCGGTTCTTGATTTCATTAAGTTGTTACATTTATCTGGCTAGTTATCTGATTTTGTAAACATCTTATGGCAAAGTAAAAGCATACAATATCTTTATTTCTGATTTGTATAGATCTTGTAAACCAAATTCTATCTAAATTCATATATTTAAGGGGTGGACATTAAATCATTCTTCCATGGATATTTTTTGGGCAGTTATCATTGCTGAAAAGTAAGTAAAATTACCATTGATTTAAAGCTTCTCTTTTCAAGGCTTAACATTTCAAATACTCACACTTTTCTTCTTGGAACTTTGATCCTAGTCATTAGTCATCATGTTATTCTCTGAACCCATTCCATGAAATGAGCAAAGCAAACTAAAGTGGAAGTATTATTTTCTGGGATTTGGAAACAATTTTATTTAGCCTAAAATTCCATTAGTCCTTTTTCACAATATTCAGTTTGTAAGCATTTAGTATTCCAAGATCTTTTTTGCAAAAACTATTAGCAAGCTAGATAGCCATCTTCCTATACCGTGTCTATTTAATTTGTTTCCTAAGTCAAGAGCTTTACAACTGGTTAAATTTCATTTAGTTATTTTCAGCCAATTTCTTTTGCATAGCATAACATTGTATTTGTTTTTTAAACTATTAGTTGTTGTACCCACTTTTGTCATCTACATGCTTGTTAAGAACTCCTTCCACCTTTTCATCCAATTCAGATTAGAGTTTCAAGACTAAATTTAGATTTTTCTTCCAGTTTGTGAAAAAAATAACGAGGATACTTTCTTAAGGATTTCTCTAATAATTCCCTAACTACTTCTCATATCCTAAGAGGCAATTAATCTGTCTCCAATATTTTAGCAATTTATTAATCCCCTTTTTGCAGGATCTATTTAGCACTTTCACAGCAAAACCTGAGTTTCAATAATTAAATCAAAATACAGGTATAACTATGAATGTGTAAGGGCTAAAGAGAATTTAATAAAACAAGTAATAAAAACTAAGTAGTGGGAAACATTTTATCTGCAGGGGCAAAAACAGTTTAAAATTCTGGCAAGAATAAAAAACAGATTTTGCAAGAGCAAATTATAGGTGCTAGATGGAGAAATTCTATGGCTTTCTAGCACCTATTGGAAGCAGTCTAAAATGATTCAGAGACTTTGATAAATGAAGTTATCAGCTGCTGTTTAGAAGTCATGTTTCTACTACATTTTGCAATTAACTCCTACTGTACTGTATACCAGAATCTAGGTCTCATCTAGATGTCTTACTAGATTCAGTTCTACTTTCATAAAGTATTAACCTCATTTTTAAAATATTTTAATAAAAGTTTACAGATACAGAGATAAACTAATACAAACTAAAAAAAATGCAGGGAAAATAAAAAATAAAGATGTATTGTGAAATGACTTTGCCTTTTAACTGGACAAGTAGAAACTTTTCACTTTCTCTGATGCTACCATAAAAAATCCCTTCCTATATTTTATCTCTTATTCATAAATCAATAAACTTGTCACTCAACCCTAATCAGAAGTCCATTAAGAGCTACAAAAGCAGCAAAACATATATTGATCAATTAAGCCAACTTTACATTATTTCCTTTTGTTTTTTAAGAATCTTGATATTTAATCTGTTTAAAATGTCCCACAGTTGATTTCACTTCTCAAAAAAAATATCTTCATTTGTTTAACACATTGTTTGTAAATCCAAGGTAAGAAAGACATTCATGTCATTCTTCTGATTATATGTCCCTTTTAATTACTAGGACATCAGCCAGTTTCATTTGTAAATCCATTGCTGCATCTTTTTCCATATAATTGTAAATTAGCATTTTTAATTCTACAATTTTATGATAGTAGGCAGCCTTAAAAATATCTTCTGAATGCATTGTTCCCATAAATTCTTCCATATTTTGCTTCATTGTGTATTAGTCTCTTTTCCTTTAACAATAATCATTAGTATTTTTCTGGTTCCTTCTAAGTGCTCAAATTCAGTGTTCCTTGTATTTTTTTTTCCTAATCAACATTTTTCCATGGGAAGGTTTCAAAATCTTCATCTATTTTTTATAGAATTTTAAACAAACCATAGGAAGGATTTTTGCAATTAATGTTGAGATCCTATTTCTAAAAAAATAAGGCTGTTTATAAACAGTAATTTTAAAACTTTCCAAAACCAATGTTCTAAGCATGGTTTTGCTGTTTATTCTAAAATAAGAATTTTTAAAATTCCTACATAAAAATTATTTCACCAAAGGTAAAAGGAAACTTATCTAGTATAATGAAACTTGCTTTTTGAAAAAGTTCCTAATATACAAAATTTCGTTAATAAACAATTTTAAGCAGTGATTAAGAAAGGAAGTATGTTCTTTTGAAGTCTCCAAACTGCAGCTTAGAGCCAAAGATGGCTCTAAAATCTGTAGCAGACCATTGACTTAGTCTCCTGATGAGGATCCACAGTATAGAGCACTTCTGAGCAATTCTAGGTCATCTCCTTGCTCCAGAGAAGAATTCTGAGGAGATTATTTGTTTTCTACCTCCTTGCTCCAACACAGTCATTGGCTCCAGTGAGAGTGGAGTCATTTTTAGTATTCCATTGCTTCGTAGCTAATCAGAAACTACTAATTTCATAATACAGTCAAAATACAGGGAAAGCATCATTTGAGATTTTACACCTCTTTGAGTTGCTAAAAACTAATATTAAATGGTGTGCTCTCAACTTTTCTTTTCTTTTTTTTTGAACATATTTAGCTTATGGCTAATATCTGTAAAGAGGTGAGACATTTTCCAGTCCCTTTAAAAGAAGGGACAAACTGATCTAATTATACACCAAATAAGTTACTAGGTATTATCAGTTAGTCCTCTACAGACTTGGGAATTATTAGATTTATTTGATAGAGTGAGCAACAAGAAGATATTAGGGCCAGGCAACTCTGGACCAGGTCATTTGTGCAAAACTATAAAAATTACATCATCCATAACATGAATTTGAAGTGTTTGTTCATAGGTTTCAAATCCATCCTTGATTTGATTTCTAGAGTCAGATATTGGAACAACTCTCTCACTATAAGTGTTTGCTGTTACTTATATTCAACAGTTAAATGCAATTCTGTTTTGTCATTAAATCATGTTTGTGTTCTTGTACCAACAGTTCACACTCACCTTTATTTTCCATACTCTAAAGATTAAGAAGGTTTGAAACCATAGCCAATGAACCTTATGATCTTTCACTATATGGTTCAGCAGGTTTTATTACAACGATATTTCCATTTTCTTCCTGTCTGCAGTCTTGTATCCAAGGTTTATTCTTCAGGATTTTTGCCTCCAAGTTCACAAATTCAGTTTAAGCCCTTCTGATCCAGCTCACCATGCTTAATAAATGCCAAACACATTTTTACCAGCAGTCTACTAATGTTCTGTGTAATTCAGACCTAGATTTCAACCTAGAAACCAAATATCTGTCTACAACATTTTTGAAGTCAATCAATGATCTGTAGTATTAAATCTTTATCTCTGCAATACTGTTCTATGGTTTGGAAAAATAAATTAAAACATCAAGAATCTAGAACTTACTAGAGTAGACTTTCAAATGATATATATTGTAGCTGTTGTCAATCTCATTAGTTCCCACAGAGATTAGCAGGAGATGGCAATTAACAATGGATTTAATAAGAATTGGAAATACCCTTAATCCATGTTTGTGTCAGCCAATAATCTGCATAAGATGGTAGATCTGGCTAATATACATTTGTCTCTGTTCTTGTGTAACCAATATTGTGATTTCCTTTTGCCTTTTTGAAAGCTAGTTGTGTATACTCTGTTCAGGCAGACAGACAGACAACACATTTATCCATCCATCCATCCATCCTCATTTTCTGGTAACCTCTGTTTGAGCAGGCAAGAGTTTATTTCTTTTTGTTTCATTTTTAGATTAGCTAAATGTACATTGTTTACTGAGAGTTTAAAATGTTTAAGCAGTTGAACCCCTCTCTCCAGTGGTAGACTGCAATTACCCTTCCCTGTTTATTTGTGTTGTGAGCTTGCTCCTTGGATACTGGCTGCCATTTATTGTTCCTATTTTTAGGAAGCAGTTATTCAGATTACTCACAGAATAGTGTCTCTCACAACACACACTTTTGTCAGCAACTTTTTAGGACATTGCCTTTTGTCCTTGGTAAACACAGAGCTTTAGGTCTCTCTTTCTCTCTCTTGCTTGTCTCTTTTCCCTGCCAAAGTTCTATGAACTTTTTCAATGTTAATGTTAATCTTTTAAATATGCAAAAAGTGTATGAAGAGTTAATGTTAGATATGTACTGTGATTTAAAGAACAGTTTCTGCTAAATTGGAGATCTATTCAAGGGTTATTTATTCTATGTATATACATAGAACATAGAGCATCATCAGAGTTGGTAGGGGATTGGAAGTTTTCTAGTCCAACCCCACAGTTCAAGCAGAAGTTTCTATACCATTTCATGCCCAGTCTCTTCTTAAAAGCCTCCAGTGACGGATCACCCACAACTTTTGAAGACAAGCTGTTGCATTGGTTGATTGTTTTCACTGTCAGGAAATTTCTTCTTAATTCTAGATTGTTCCCCCCTTGGTTAGTTTCCACCCATTGCTTCTTGTCCTGCCCTCAGGTGCTTTGGAGAATAACTTGACTCCCTCTTCTCTGTGATAACCCCTGAGATATTGGAACACTGCTATCATGTCACCTCTAGTTTTTCTTTTTACTAGACATACCCAATTCCTGCAACTGTTCTTCATATATTTAGCCTCCAGTCCCCTAATCTTCTTTGTTGCTCTTCTCTGCACTCTTTCTAGAGTCTCAACATCTTTTTTATATTGTGATGACCAGAACTGGACATAGTATTCCAAGTGTGGTCTTACCAAGGCCTTATAAAGTGGTACTAATACTTCACATTATCTTGATTCTATTCCTCTGTTAATGCAGCCTAGGATTGCATTGACTTTTTGGTGGGTGTAGCACACTGTTGTGCTGGCTCAAATATAAGTGATTGTCTAATAGGGATCCAAGATCCCTCCTCTTCAGTGAATTTTCATCTGTTAAAATATACTCATTGTATAATATTTGTAGCCTGTATGAAATGTACTGCAACATATAATATATATTTTTATTTTGTATAGGTATGTTGTTATTAATCAATAGAAATAGTTTTATCATAAAATAAGATAGTTATTGATAACTAATTTATAATTATCTATTTCCTAAATCTTTATTTTTGGCAATGTTTATCTTCAGTTGAATTCTTATTTGTTTGGGATTTTAGCTTAGATGATTATGTTTTTACTGAACATTGATTTTTATCTTGATTGGAGGTGAAAACCCACATGCTGCAAATTCTAATACATTTTGCACCTAGGTTCAATTCAGAGGTTGACTTCCAAAGACCTATAAGGCTCGACCTTGGCATGCACAAAGGCAGAGGTTCTGAAACAGCCCTTTAAGAAGGCTAAGTAAATGCATATGCCCCTTCCCAAAATAAAATGAATGGCTTCATTCAAGTTGGGATTGGATAAGAAATCAATGTGCCTCTTACTTTTGATATTATATTTTAATTTATATTTCCCAAGATTTCTCAAACTTTGCAGTACCATGACTGCTCCCTTTGAACTTGTACAGGCAAAACAAAGAGGAAAATCTAGTTGTGATCTCTGGTCCTGTTTTTAAGAAAGCTTGCAATTCTGTCTCCCCACCTTTAATTTTTGGTGACCCCTGTTTGACTACATTAAATTAAGGGAAGAACAAAAGTATAAACCCATATAACTGACATGCAATGGAATAAACTATCCTTCCTATTCCTAAAAAGTGCAGTCCCCCCCAAAAAGATCCTGTTAGGTGACTTCGTTCAATGTTTACATGAAAGTTGGGAGGGGGATAATTATATCTGCTTTAAAAACAATGCCTGATTCTTTCTGCAGCTGATCCATCATGTACTATTGGAGAATCTTAAGTATGTTAGGGCAATTGTTGAATTTTAGGAATCTACAGTGATTTAGCATAGGTTAGCATAGACCCAGCAGAGATTTTAGAATACATTTATATTCCTTTTCCAGTGGTTGCTGTTTGGTCACTTGAGCACTAATATAAAAGCAAATATAAAAAACAAACCTTTATTTTGGAGATTTTGAGAAGTAATGAAAAGAAGCCTAAATTCAGCCATTTTTATTGTCAATATATCTAGTGATAGCAAACAGATTCATTTAGTGGGATAAAATAAGATGCTCACTATCATGCAGTTTAATTGCTTTGAAGAGCACTGTAGGGTATCAATACCACATCATTTAGGAAACATTTTTACCCAAAAATAAAGTGCTTGAACGTTAATGAAGTTTGGAACAGCATACAAGGAAAGAACACTTTGTGGTTTCTGACCTTGTGGTTGATACTAAAAATATTATATGGCAATGTACATTAAAGAGAATATATCCTGTTTAATCATTTGAAAATCATTACTGTGCTTTGTCTTTTGGCCCTTAAGTTATACTATATTTTTTCCAGAACAAAGTACTTTAAAAAGAATTTTCAGATTCTACTACAAAAATAGAGCTGTTAAATGTCTGTTTTCTTGTAAATACATTGCGGCTAAAACTTTCTTTCTATTAAAGGTTGTATCTCCTAAACAGATTAATTTTCTTTGTCAAACATTGTAGGTAATTCTACAACATAAATTAGAAGAAATAACAGTAGGTCTAGTCTTTTTATCTCTCGGCCTCCAATTTGCCTTCTATCAGATAAATGTTAAAAATGTTAGAATTTCTTTGTCAAAGCTATATATGTATATACTGGTTGAGCCTGAGGGAGGAGTCAAACGGGGAATTAATCTGCATAATCCCTGCGTGGGCACATGTGGGCAAAGTCTGATTCCTCCTTGAATGCTGTTGAACCTTATCTAGTCTTACCTAGGTGCAAACTGTCAGTCTGGCAAGATTCCTGTGTCCAGTAAACAGCTAATTGAACTCTTCAGTCATGGACCTGCTTGCTTGCACATGGCAATATGATTTCTAAAGTCATTTCAGGTTCTTCTGTTCACAAGTAGTGGGACCACAACTTTTGACTATTGTAATCTCTGCATTTTCTTTTTCAAAATGTCCAACTTTTCTTTAAAAACGATTGGATTAATACAACAAACTAAGCTATTAGATGGTCTATTGCATTTTAACTTAAGAGGTTATGAATATGGCAACTGTGATTTATTCAGGTTTAGGCAAAGTGTACTTTACTGTGCAATTTTTTCCTCAAATCTCATAACTAAAGACCTTGGAATAGTAACATGTCTTCACTGTCAATCTTTAGGAAGTGACTTGAATGATTATAGAAAGAATGTACATGCCTGAGTTAATGATTTGTAATTCTTTCTACCCACCCATCCTTTGTCTCTTTTTCTTCAGGAGAGAGCTATGTGTGTGGTTCAATAGAGCCTTTTAAGAAGCTGGAGTACACAAAGAATGTAAATCCTAATTGGTCTGTAAATGTTAAGACCACCTCAACTTCCCGTTCAGTGCCCTCTCTAGCCACGGCCAAAGGAAGCCCTGCAGATTCAAAGGAGAACAAGGATTTCATTAGACCTAAACTGGTCACCATCATCAGGAGCGGTGTGAAGCCACGTAAAGCAGTTCGGATTCTGCTTAACAAAAAAACAGCACATTCATTTGAGCAGGTTCTCACTGATATTACGGATGCCATCAAACTTGATTCAGGAGTAGTTAAGCGTCTTTACACACTGGATGGGAAACAGGTAAGATAATTCTTTAAGCTATCAAATAACACATTACATAAAACATAGATTTTGGAGTTACTAAGCTAGTGCTTCTTAGCCCAAATACCTGATAATGTAAATAAAAACATTATCATAACAGAGCCATGCAGAGAAAACCACTAAAATTAGGAGCATAAGTTTTAAAGCTTTAGAAAAGTATCAATTTTTAAATAAAGCTTTCTTGAGACTGATGTTTGCATGAAAGTAACACTTGAATTACTTAAATCTTTTACAGCTAAGAGCCTACTCTGTGCTCTTCTCCATTTGTGGAGGGGGAAAAAACCACTGAAATGAAAATCTGAACTACAAAGGTCAGGGACAGAAGAAGTGAGTGGCCAAGGAAGGGATGAAAGCCCTGAGTATCTACTGTATCTATCCAATAGGAGACATGCTGTATACAAACATGCAAAGTTCAAAACAGGCGATTGAAATGCAAACTCTCTTGGCTAACTCTACACCTGTTGTCCCTAGTGGTCCATAAGTTCATAAGTACTGTGTAGAAAGGCAGTTCATGCAAAGTTGTATACAACCTGAACTCGATGAAAAATAACCGTAGCTATAGGACAGTCAATTTCATTTTTCCCCCTAAGGAAATAAATTTATATCAAAGTCAAGACCTTAGTTTTCAAAACCTTTCAATTTTTTTTTGCCTGCTTGAGCTGCAAAACATTTCTCGTGAGACATAATTACCGTACTTCTTTATTATATCCTGCTGAAATAATAGGCTCTGCTGCTTAAGTGTAGCAGGCAAAGGAATGGGAGAAAGTTACATCTCTTTGTCTTGAACAGAGACCAGAGGTGGTATTCAGGTTCTGACCAGTTCTGGAGAACCAGTAGCGGAAATTTTGAATAGTTCAGAGAACCGGCAAATACCACCTCTGACTGGCCCCACCCCCATCTATTCTCTGCCTCCTAAGTCCTAGCTAATCGGCTGGGTCTTGTTTTGTTGCCCTGCACAGGAGAACGGAGCTGGAAAGCAGGTTTGTGGGGTGGGGAGGGAATGGGGATTTTGCAGTATCCTTCCCCTGTCATACTCACCAAACCATGCCCACCAAGCCATGCCACGCCCACCAAGCCACACCCACAGAACCGGTAGTAATAATTTTTGAATCCCACCACTGACAGAGACGGCTATGTCTGGTGAGTAAACAAAGGCACTTATCAAGCAGAAGATTTAGGCAGTGATTTACTCCTTATCAGGAGTAACTGTTTGGTCAGCTTGTATGTATTCCTACAGAAAGTATGGTTTAAGAACTGATGTTCTATATTCTTGGCCATAATCATTTTATGTCTTACATAGCATTTGAAGTACTCTGATATATCCCCCGCCCCTAGTTTTTCATATTGTGTATGATTAAAGAGAAAAAAAATCCATAATAAATCCAAAAATTTGTTCCATTTCTGCATATAGTTAAATTTCTACCTCTGGCTCTTGCACAGCATCTAGAACATCCCCAGAACAACTGCTATGCCATATTGCAGATTTCCTAGATTGGATTTAGATATCTTAAAATGTTCTTGATAGAAAATGTACTTTTACGAGGAGCAATAGATGAAACTCCTGTAGTACAATTAATCTGCTTTTCAATCCAAATCTGAGAATAACGTTTGCAGTGTAATACTTTCATGCTCTTTGCTGCATCATATTGCAGTAAATGAAGTTTTCTGTTAATCATTCACCACCTTTTCAAGAACAACAACCCATTCCTTTGTGTCCCTGGCAACATGTTCAAAATATACCTTCATTTTGAAGAGTTCTAAAAATATTTGCATCCCAACTACATTTTTCTTTTTTACTGATTTTATGGACTTCAACTTTCATAATTCCTTAGCCATCTATCCACACATCTTCAAGATTGAGAAACACTGCTCTGGAGCCTTAGCAGTCCAAATCAAGACGTCAAAGTAACATTCAAAATAAGATGTTTAACCAAGAAAATGGATCTGGCAGCAGCAGTTTGAGGCTGGTTCCAGTAAGCCTTGCAGCCTCAGCTGTGGGCAACACTGTACTTATGTAGTTTTTGTCCCCTTCTGTTTATCTGTGGGGACTTTCCAGATTTATCCTAGTTTGGCCCTAAAATAGACTTGTTTCATTCACAACTCCATATCTGAAACACCATGGAAACATGGTTCAGAAGGTCCAGGAAAATCCATACTGTTCCTGGTGTGGTTTAGCAAGCATAGCAGTGGTGGGATTCACATTTTTTTACTACTGGTTCTGTGGGCGTGGCTTGATGGATGTGGCATGGCTTGGTGGGCATGGCGTGGCGGGCGTGGCAGGGGAAGGATACTGACTCTGTGGTTTGTTCCCCAAACCCCAAAAACTTTAACCTTAGACTTTCTACTATTGACCTCATCCCTTTCCTAAGAGGTCTGTAGGGGGCATGCATAAGCGCACCAATGTGCCTACTGTCCCTGTCCTATTGTTTCTTTTATTTTTCTTACATGTATCCATGTATTCATAACTATGTTTTTGCTTATATCTATTATCTTGTAAGCTATCAACAAACCAAATAAAATAAATAAATAAATAAAATCCCCATTCCCTCCCCACTCCAGGGGGAAGATTACTGCAAAATCTCATTCCCTCCCCACCCCACTAACCTGCTTTCCAACTCCGTTTTCCTGTGCAGGGCAACAAAAGAAGACCTAGCCAATCAGCTGGGATTTGGGAGGCAGAGAATAGATGGACGGGGCCAGTCAGAGGTCAGAGGTGGTATTTGCCAGTTCTTTAAACTACTCAAAATTTTCCCTACCAGTTCTCCAGAACTGGTCGGAATCTGCTGAATACCACCTCTGAAACAGAGCAATAAAACAGCTTTTCACTTGAAATTAATATAAATCAACACAAATTAAAAATTCAAGGACCCAATAGTACTATAGAGCAAGGCCAAACTAGTTCCTCTTCTTGAGATTTTCATTCATAAGTAGTATTTAGATCCCGAGGAGACATCTGCCGTGCTTTGGCAGTACCTGTTTGATTATGACTGATTAATAATTGGCTTTATGTCTTCTGAATTTTCAATGCACATATAAGTTACTAAGCCAGGAGTATGTAACTTCCATTCACTTGAGTTGCACTGTGTGTCACATGGCTTGCTGAGGGGTGAGCTACTTAAAAATGGGCCGAAGCATTTTTCTTTAAATATTTTATTATTCTTTTTTTTTATGACTCCTAAACATGTTCAAATATTTTGCCATTTTCCTAGTTGGATTCTAGGGCCACCATAAAAGATGCAAGCAGTTAGCACTTCTTACATCTCTAATTTGATCTTCAATTATTCTGTTAAAATAATATGATTAGATATATCAATACACTGAGGTCATAAAGCACCTTGTATTTCAGTTATAGAACTTGTAAATGTCAAAAGTCATTAAAATATCCTTTTCTATTGTTTCCATCTCTCATCTAAATTTTAAAGTTAAACAATTTAATATCATTGCTAACCAATCTAGTTACCAATGACAACAGAGTAAATACTAAATTTCAGTAGATTTTTACCATAGTCTTGAAACTTGAATTTTAAATTTTAAATAAACATTCAAATTGGTATGAAATTTGAATGAATGGCTTCTAAGATTTAATGTGGACTTTCAACAAGTCATGAAGTTAAAAAATAGACAGGACAAGAAGCAGAATACATCATAATCCCATAGAACATCCTGGTGCCCTGGATGTCCATAATTATTCGTTTATGTAGAGTCTGATTTTCCTATTAAGTATTACAGCTTGGAAGTATTGCCTTTGAGGCTTTAAGGAATAATATCAAGATATTCCATCAAGCAAATGGAAAATCAAACTCAGTCTGAATTGTTTTAATTGTCTTTTCAACTTGAGTTAAGCAGTCATTTTTCTTAAAGCTGGTGGACTGGAAGGACCCCAAGGCCAATAATGGAGTAGTAAGTCATGCTTTTGATTAAAAGAGGAGATGGCATTATTGATTAATCTACAGACACATATGGCCAAAGTTTCAGACCAGAAATAACAAATCAGGCTTCTTTCAGATTATATAACAGATAATAGATAATCAGAGTTGGAAGAGACCTTGTATGTCATCTAGTCCAACCCCCCACCCAAGCAGGAGACCCTACACCATTTCTGACAAATGGCAGTCCAATTTCTTCTTGAAAGTCTCAAGTGATGGCGCTTCCACAACTTACGAGGGCAAGCTGTTCCATTGGTTGATTGTTCTCACTGTCAGAAAGTTTCTCCTTATTTTGATGTTAAATCTCTCCTTGTTCAGTTTCCATCCATTATTCCTTGTCTGGCCTACAGGTGCTTTAGAAAATTGCTTGACCCCTTCCTCCCTGTGGCAGCCCCTCAAATATTGGAAGACCGCTATCATGTCTCCCCTGGTCCTTCTTTTTTCTAGACTAGCCAAGCCCAGTTCCTGCAACTGTTCGTTGTATGTTTTAGCCTCCGGTCCCCTAATCATCCTGGTTGCTCTTCTCTGTACTTTTTCTAGAGTCTCAACATCTTTTTTATAATGTGGTAACCATATGTGAATTGCTTTGCAAATGTACCCATAAATAGCTTATCTTTTTAAACTGTGAATAGTTCTTTAGAATCAAGAGGGACAACTGTCCTTTAGGACAGTGGTCCCCAACCTTTTTTACGCTGCGGCCCGGTACCGGCATCAGCTGGGCGCCGCCATCTTGTTGAGTTCACCGGAAGCACTTTTTCATCAAAACAAGATGGCGGCGCCCAGCAAACCAGCGGCCTGGTAGGATTTGTTCCACGGACCGGTACCGGTCCGCGGACCGGTGGTTGGGGACCCCTGCTTTAGGACAAAACTCTCAAGGCACCAACCACATAGTTCAAGATGATGGGAAAAGAACAAAATCTATGGTCAAAGATCAAGGGGCATGTTAACTCTGTAGCATATAAATTACATTTTTTGAAGTTCAGGATAGGTGAACTGGGTCTACTGTATGACAATTTTTCTGTCCCTGTCCCTCAGTTGTTTTATTTCCTGAAT